AGTGATCGGCCCTCGTTTCGTAAACCTGAGCACGCTCAATGCTCTGTGACCGTCGCATGTACATCAACAGTTACCGGAGAACCTGTACGGTAGTGTCAGCTCGGCACCGCGAACGTACCAATGACCCCAAGACGTATGCAAAATCGGCTAGTTCTTTGGTCGGACGGACAGTCTTGTTTGCACGTGAAGTTCGCGCGTGAACGCCAGGTCTTGCTCGTCACGATGGGCTTCTAGGCATCCACTCTGCAGAATACGGCCTCAAATCACATTAGACACGGTGAATGCGCGCAAGCCACTCGCACACTCCTATTCAATATCCTGGATGGTCCACCTGATTGGCTCGTCTCACAGCTCTAAGGCAGCAGCTTTCAGTACAAGTCAGCGCTGAAACTGAGATACACACCCCACGACATCGCAAGTGCGATATGGTCTTGCGTATTTTCGCTGATGCCAGGAAGCTCGAATTTGAGGGGAGCTCCAATCTTTGACAGCACATTCTCTCGGTCCATCCCATACAACTCCAGGATCTGTGGAGACTTGGATTCTCTGTGGGACGCTGCGCTCAGTCAATGAATAATGGACAACGCGGACATGCTCGCAAGCTGTGAACGTCGCCACTGTGGCCAAACTCGACGACGCCAGTCGCCAGGCTCAGTGGGACACGGCATGCACATGAGCGCCGAATAGAATCTGGCGTACGGGTACAGATGATATTCGACGAGATTGCTTTACCGGATGTGCGGCACAATCAGGTCGTCCGGGTAGGCGTACCACTGAACAGATATCGACACCGTGGCAACCAGGAGTGCACCTAGAAGGCAGCGTATGCAAGCTAATTATGGTTGAAGAGTGGTTCGGACTCAGAGGATGCGAGAGCGTCGGCAGGACGGGAGGGGCTTACGGGAGGGGCTTACAAGGCACGCTGAAAACGCTGCCCGCAGGTCAGTGGCTGCACAATGTATACATCAGGAACACCTACAGGACGTGGGCTGCTGAAATTTCTGGACATCTCTTGCGTGGTAGCGTTCCGTGGTCGTTGTTGCATGCCGACAGCCTAAGCAGCTTCTCACTTGGCCTCGCAGGAAATGCGTAGCTTGTCTGGACCGTACTGCGTAGGTTACAAAGCAATTCTACGTCAGAAATACATGTGAGTTGGACATCAGCAGCTCACTCACCACCAGAGGCCCTTGCAAACCGCGATCCACAGGCAGCGAAGGCGGCATCTCCGTCGTCGGGCAACGATGGGCCTCCTCGTTTGACATCGCATTTCCTGCATCACAAGTGCCGATGACGCGAACGACGAGCCCTTCGTGGCGCGCCGCGGGCGAGACAGGAGGTGCTGCGCTTGAGGTTACGTGTTCTGCGAGTTCATACACAAGTCCGGCTTCGAACTGAGTTGCGATGATGCGAATGTAGCGACAGAGACGTCGTGGCGTGCCCATGCAGAGACAACGCAGTGGGTGTTATGGGTGCGTAGAGACTCTTTGATTAAGGCATTTGGGCACTCGCTTTTGTTGAGAGTAGGTGTAGAGTAACGTGCAGATTGGGCGTGATCTCGCAACTCTGTCCAGAAAACCGTCAATACAAGCTTCTATACACCACCCACAACACTTACAGGTGGCCCTTGGCCTCACTACCAAGTTTCCCACTGGAGTTTCTGACTGGACCTTCATAGGCATATCCGTGTCAAGAATGCGTCCAAAAATGCGACTTGCGGACGAGCCGCTCCGCTCGGTTGTCGCAGGCAAGATTTTGCATGATCGTGCAAGAGACAATCCGGACTAAATCATGAGAGTTTTGCACATAGGAGGAAACTAGCGACTGTGTACACACACTTGCTCGTGGATGTCCCTGCTTCGTTCACGTTCATCTTATGTGATGGAGGTTCTTGGTTGTGAGCTCTGTCCTGCTGAGCGAGATTACTGACAGCAAGAGCAGCCTGCAGGTACGGTGAGCGAAGAAACAGGCAATGGAGTACGCGCACCTGCGACTACTGCAACTACCGATTCTCTGTCATAAGCCACGACCACCTGATGGATACATTTCTACATTGATTGTCAGTTGATCCGTGGGCATAGTCAATAGAGGGGCTGACAATGTGGTGTGCTGGATGAGCGCCGGACAGCGAGAGATCTGAGCCTGAGAAGTCTGGGGAGCGCGCTGATGTTGCCTAATTGGGGTGATTATACCGTAGTAACGTTACTAGACCTCGGACAAAAGCTAAGTCCTATCTAAGGAGAGAGTAGGCTGGACTGCTGGGTGCTTGCAGAGGAACATGCAGAGTAGCACACACGCGGCTGAGGCAGGCATCTGTTGCATAATTGTATGCGAGAGGACATCGAACAACGCATCAGAACCGTAAAATCGAGTGAACAGAGATAAGAGTAACTAGGGCATCCCTGGTCGATCAGTGTTTTTGATCACGGGTACAGGCTGCCCCTTCAGCATTACACTAGCCGGGAGACCCAGCGGATTAATGATTTCGGCCTTTTCTGTGAGAACAGGCCTGTCGGCGTCCTGAAACCAGTCGTGCGATATAGCCTCAGCAGCGGCCAGACGATCCTTGGGAGACCGCGCGAGAAGCCTAGTAATGATGTCCTTTGCTGTTCGGCAATTCCAATTCATAGGCAGCTCAGACCAGAAGACAGAGGAATGCACGTACCATAGTCCCTTAATTCTCCGCACCAACGGAGTTCTCTGCGATCAAGGCCGACGCCCGTAGGGTCCACCTGAATGCAGACATCGTTCCAAGGGAACTGAGCAGTGATCCTATAGATATATCATGTCAGACTATGCTCTTAAGTAAATGAATGGACACGTAGTACATATTAAAGATGGTAACGCCCATAGAGAATGCGTCAACTTTCTCGTCGTAGTGCTCGCTCCAAGAGTAGCCACAAAGAACGACCTCAGGTGTAGCAAAAGCGGGAGTACTACAAAGTGTCTGCGGACGTTTGAGTACATCTCATTGACCAGATCGTTTTGCCCACCTGTAGAGCGGTATCGCCTGTGACAATCCGCGACAGACC